GTTGTTATGGCCCTCTGGTTAGATGAGTGAATCCATTTTCACCAGTTTACAAAATCCAGCAAAACCGCGAATCTTCCGCCAGACTTCAAAACATTCTGGCGGATTACTGACAAAAAATAAAAATAAAAAATGCCATGGCAACAATAGCGGGTTACCGAGGAACCTATCGTCGCTATGGAGACTGCATCACTCCAACGTGATTAGAAGTATCCAGTCGAAAGCGCTTTCAGTCTCTGATCTTTCCCCTCCCTTTTGTCTTCAGTGATCGGTACACATTAGTGAATTTGTGCTTGAATCAGAACAATTTTAGATCCTTGAATTCTGCACGAATAGTAGCACAAACGGAGAAAAAGTTCACATATAGCATCTTATGCATCTTTCACTGGTTGTTGATATGGAACGGGGTCTTGACGAGACGACGATACACAATAGAGGCACACAAAATTAGTAATTTAAGACACTTATTCCAACAAGTGATATGCTGTCTGAGCGACACTTGTTCATAATGTAAAGAAAATACACAATGCCTTTAAATGGGCTACCTCTAATTCATTATAATAAGCGCTTCCCTCCCTATTCTTGTAAAAACTCCCTAAACTGGACTAAGTTTCCAGCAATGTCATGTCAAAGTAGACTATGCGATGCAACGAGAGCATATGAATAGAATAGCTATTAACTTGTCATTGAAGAAATATTGACTTTGTGGCAAGCCGTTTTAACATTTGCCCATTAACTAGGCTATGTGTTTATTTAAAGTCATTCAGTAGTGACTGGTGTCTTTTCAATTTCACTTGTAAACGATTCATTGGATACTAGTACTTACTTTCACTACCTGTCAATGTTCCAGAAGTTACAAGTAACTTGACGGTTTCTGGAAGATATTTTTGTCATTGAATTTTATGCGGATTTGTGGTACCGATAGTAACTGTTCACTTCCAATGATATATTTCTAATTGTTGCTGGTATTTATTCCAGTTTAGTACATCTTTGTTAGATACTAGTACTTATCTTTGAGGCACAAATATATATTCCAACAGTAGGCCTATGTAATATGTCTTACAGTACATCATTACATATATTAGATCATTAGATGTAAAGACTAGTCAGAATGGCTACTGTATAGATAAAGTATAATAAAAACAAAATGTTACTAGTCGGAAGTGAATAGTTGATATATTAACCCAATATAATTCAATGACAAAAGATGTGTTACCAGTAACAACGAAATAATCACTATTACACTGTGAAAAATATATATATAATTAATTAAAAATAAATCACTTATTTTTTGTGGGAAATTAAGTATTTTATTAAGTTTTTTTTTTAAAGAAAATACTATTTCAGTCTTTCTACTTGAAAATATCATGTTTAATTAAGTGTTTCTTGTAATTATGCCT